GACCTAAATACATTTACTTCCAAACTTGCCTTCTACTGCTCACTTCATCTTCTCAACAAGCGATTTAGAACCGCATCGTGGATTTGGGGATGATGGTAGCTTAGTCCCAGGATATGGAAGAGAAGTTGCTTCATCTGCAACAGCGTTCTTCACGTCCAACTGGTTCGTAAGAGCGGAATTGTGGTAAAGATTCAGTAAGGTTACCGAAAACACAGGTTTTGTCTGCATTTGTTTTGGCATGTTCTAGAGCTCGACAGAATCCAATTTGCTGCGACCGTGAGCAGTTCGATGTAGCGAGGTCGCGCCTTAGTCTTATAGACCGCCGAAGTCGCATGTGTAGGTTGACTATTTGCATTCAACGAAACCTCTTGCCCTACAACATATTTTGTGTGTGTGTTGCTCGCCATTAACTTCGGAGAGTTGCTTTTGTTTATCTTGACTCTCTCAGCGAGAGTGTTGCGGACCCCGCGCCGCATGAAACTTTATAACAGAATTTGCCACGATGGATAGAGGGGCAGAATTCAGCAAGCCGATTTTACCCGGCAATTTCCCCTACTAAGACCAGAGGCATTTCCTGGCTGTATCAAAGGTCTACTAAATCGTTTTTTATAAAATAAATTTCGTGGAGGCATGTTCTTCATTATACAACTCAATATCAATAAGTGGGATCAAATTGCTTCGGCATTGACTGGATTGCAGTAACGTGGTAAGGAACGAATACTCTATACTATGAAAAGTATCGCAAGGATTGTATTTCAAAACAAAAACAGACCATGCAACACACACAGCATCAATCTCACGTCAAAAGCGAGAAGAATAAAATGACCATTCTTCTGTGACTATATACACGATCAATGTGAGTTCCGCAACTATCTACACCCAAGAAGGCATCACAATTTACTTCTTACCCAGCACTTCACCAATCATAAAATCACTTGTCGTTCAAATATCTCAAGATCTTAAAAATCACATTAAATTAAATATTAAATTTCATTTTTCAATTAAAATATTCTACTCAACTTTCAATGTGGTCCACAATTCTAGTGTCACTACCAACCGTCAAATGACGTTGTCACGCATAGCTCGTCGAGCATTCCGACGGTCCTCGTTTAGCCTCAATTGCCATTCATCAGTTCGACTTCTTGCATTATCAACTGCATCGTATCCAAATTGCATTTACGCAAGGTATCCAGATGTGTACCATTACGTACCCCATCAACGCTCCTATTCCGTTCCCACGAAGTCACAAAGCGTCAAGTGGCCCTCCGATCTTGCCAAGCGGGTACATCGACGGATGCGTACATTTCCACGTAATTCTGAAGCTAAAGAACTCGTAATAAAGGCTGGTATGAACCCTGCTGAATGGGCAATTGCTGCCTCTAGTTTTCGCAAATCATTTCTCTCGGAACCAGTGAAATTTTTCGATAATCAAACCGAACTATTGGCATTTGGACAGGTACGTTCTGTATATTGATTGATAATTTGAGAGATATTCATGCGTAAATGTTGGTATATAGACTTTGGACAATGTCAAGCGTCACAATTCGTTTATCTTCTATCCATATTTTCTGGATTATGCCAAAGCTACGAGTTATTTACCAGCTGATCAAGATACTGACACAATCTCTTTGCAGCAATTAACTGATCTGCGCTTACCACATGAAATGTATCCATTTGCTACTGCTATGAAGCGTAAAATTATTTACCATGAAGGTCCAACGAATAGTGGCAAGACTTTTCAAGCTTTAGAGCGCTTGAAACAAGCTGGAGAAGATGGTGGGATCTATTGTGGTCCATTGCGTTTATTAGCACTTGAGATCTTTGATCGATTAAATACAGATGGATTATACACGTCCCTTGTTACTGGACAAGAAAAGAAAGTAGTACCATACTCGACGCATGTTTCATGTACCGTGGAAATGGCGAATATCAATCGACGTTGGGATGTAGCAGTTTTAGATGAAATTCAATTGATTGGTGATCCACAACGTGGGTGGGCGTGGACACGTGCCTTCTTTGGCTTGCAAGCAAATGAGATTCATGTCTGTGGCTCTGGTGAAGCAGTAGATCTGATCAAAAAGTTTGCCGCGACGACGGGGGACGACTTTGAGTTGTGTTCGTATTCTCGTCGTTCTCCATTAACTCTTGCAACGAAACATCTTGGGTCTTATCATCACATTCAACCTGGTGACTGTGTTGTAGCGTTTTCTCGTCGAGATATTTTTCAAATCAAGCGAGATATTGAGATCAAAACAGGTCTAAAATGCTGCATCATTTACGGTCAATTGCCTCCGGAAACGAGATCTCACCAAGCGCGTTTATTTAACGATCGGACCAATGATTTTAATGTTTTAGTGGCTTCTGATGCCATTGGCATGGGATTGAATCTCAATATTCGACGAATTGTTTTTGCCACGGTCAAAAAATATTCCGGAAGTGGTGGAATGATTGATATTCCCCCCGCTCTTGCTAGACAAATTGCTGGTCGAGCGGGTCGATACAATAGTGATTTTGCATCTGGAGAAGCAACGTGTCTTTTAAAAGAAGATTTGGAATATATGAAAGAATCGTATGAGGAAAAACCGACACCTCTTTCCTCTGCTGGAATTTTTCCAACATCCGAGCAAATGGAAGAGTTTGCAAAGCAATTACCTGGAATCTCAAATTTAGCTGATCTTGTGGATAAATACGTCATGTTAGCGCGTTTGGATGGTGCTTACTTTATGTGTAATCATCAGGATATGAAAGATGCTGCGACTTTGTTACAAGAGACTGATTTAACGCTTTCAGATCGATTTACTTTTTGTATGTCTCCAGTGAGTTTGCGTAATCCATTAGCTAGAAAAGTGTTTTTAGAGTATGCACGTGCTCATTCATTGGGTCAGAGTGTCAAATTGGATATTTACTTGCCCAAGTTTGCTCCCCATTCGGCAGAAGCTTTAGGGGATGTCGAGATTAAAGCGAAAATCATCGATTTGTATCTTTGGCTCTCGTTTCGATTTGAAAATACGTTTGTTGAGAAAAAGTTAGCGCTAGAATTAAAAAAACGAGTACTTGAGTTGGTGGAACAAGGGCTTGTTAATACGACATATAATCGAGAAGAGAAGAAGACAAGATGGGCAAGTGGTGTTGCGAATCTTAGGTTCACATCTCGAAAAACTTTACAAGATCAAAATCATAAGAAGAATAGCAACATTCAAAGCCATAGACACGATTTGAGAAATGTTGTGAAACGACAAGAACGAGTACAACGAGCTAAAAGCACGAGCTTTCAACGTGAAGAAGCTGTGACTATCAATGAGATTGAAAGTGGGAGAATGTCGTGGTTTAAACGGCTTTTCAATTAGACATTGCAATATTCCAATACTATTGTTACGTTGTTTATTATAATTATTGCAATAATTGTTTAGGATTTTTTCAATGAGTCCTTATTCGTACTCAATGGTGCTACAGATTGAGCTCGTTTCAAGTCTGTACGCAGTAAAGCTTGTTCTAATACTGAATATGCTTCTCGTTGAATCAATTGAGTATCTTGTAATTTTTGAATCAACTTTTGCTCTGCTTCTTCCATTTCGTGCACTTTCATTTGATGTTCTCGAATTTGACGTTCTTCTGCAATTGCTTTTTTGACCAGTCGAAGAGCTGCTTCTTGATCAACTTGATGACGATCAAATGCTTTTTTCTTTTTTAACGCATCTTCTTGTCGTCGAATCTCAAGTCGTTTTGCTCGAGCACGTTCGACTTGCAAGAGCTGTAAACGTTCTCGCTCGGCTTTTAAACGTTTACTTTCGGCTTTAATCTGTTCCACATCTTGATTCTTTTGCGATATAATTCGAATTGCAGCATGTTTTTTCTTCACTACCGACTCTTTTTTCAGACCATAATGTTTTTTTTGTGCAAATCGAGACTGTCGTTCTTGTTCAATTTGATGCATGGATTTTATCTCTTGTCGTTGCAAGGTGGCGACACGTAAATCAAGAATTTCTTGTGCTCGAGTTTTCGTCTGTGCAATTTTTTTCAAAGCTTTGGACTCTTCGTGCTACAAATTCAGGTATACCGTCATATACCGATCTATATTCTAAAATTGCAACTCAATATCACCTGAAGTAACGCAATTCGATTTTGAAGCATTTTCAAATCACATTCTGCTTGCTTTCGTTTGGACTACCGGTATAATCACAATATTTTGAGTTTATCAAAAATATGAGAAACAAACCTTTAAGAAATGACTTTACCTCAAGTAATCGACTTCGCAAAATCGGAATGCATGTCGAACTCTTTACACTTACTCTCTCTCGATGATTTCCCATCATAAGCATTCCCCAAAGACCTAGCACAGCATGTTTTGGGATCGTTTCCTCCCGTGTTTCAAGCAAAAGATGTACAAGATCATGTGCATGTGCTTCTCTTGGCAATTGCTCTAATCGACGTACAAGCACTGCGACATTCACTCTAAATAGGTTTCAATTAAGTACGACTGACTACTAAATGAGTTGATAACTTGATCGAAACGTACTCATCACCATGTGCTTGTTGAAGTTGCTGTAAGACTTTTGCTACAGATTGCAAGGTCCAATTCTCAGCTTCATCGCTTTCAACTGATTGAATTATATCATTGTGCTGTTGATATTCCTCTCTGTCGCTCATACAACTCACAATCTCTTCCGCTTCTGCAGCATTCATCCCCATGATAAATGTACCCATGTTTTTACACGTCTTAAAATAACAAAAGGGATTTCATGTGGACCACCTAATTTGGATTGTTTTATTTTATCCAATTAGATCACAGTTTCTTGTTCAACCAGCCATTTCTTGATTATAGTAGCATGGGAGTGCGCAAAGGAGGCAAGAAGAAAGGCAGTCGAAAGCGTAAGACGAACGTATGGGATGATGAAAAGCCGATAGATAAGCGTGATAGAAGTCTGAGTGATGGACAAGTCAAAAAGCGCCGTAATGGATCGATGATGGGCCAATGGAAGGCGCAAAAGATTGCCAAGTGTGTGAAAGTACGACAATTTGTCAATTCTGTGCACGAAAAGAAGCAATGGCAGCGTGAAAAGTACAACGAAACGTGGGAAGATACAGTGAATGCAATTTATAAGGAGAAATGTGTAGAAGAAGAGCAAAAGTCAGTGAGAGAAGAGACACAGAGTGACGACAACACTAGTGACAGTGCTAGTGACAGTGAAAAGGACTTTGGAAAGACAAAGTCGGTGTTTCAAAAGTTTGTAGACACGTTTAAGCCGATTCAAGAAGACAGAAGTGAAGAGTTTGTGCAGGAAAATGAAGAAAATAGTGTAGAAGCTCAAGATGAGGTGGTAAATCTCCGTGATGACGAGCAAATTGCTGCGATGGAGAAAGATGATGAAGAACAATTGATTGAACAAGAAGAAGAAGAAGATCCATATCGTCTGCGTTATATATTGAGTTTTTTGACTGAAGATGAAGCCAAGACGTTTAATGCACAAAAGAAATCGTTTTCGAAAGTGACATTGCCAGAAATGCAAGAACTTTTCGATGTATCATACAAAAGTGGGGTAGATGGACGAACAGATCTTGTCATGACGCCAGAAAGTGCGGACAGGAAGAAACAATTTGTACGATCTCGATTATTGACGACATGGAAACAGCGAAAAGTGGACGCAGATACAAAATACGCCAAAGGTTCTGTACAGCGTGCACTACTTCAGCAAATGTTTGCATACAAAGATGTTCTATTTGCTGGTCAGTCGTACGAAATCACAGACTCATTGCGTCACATTAGTGCAATGCACGTTCTTAATCACGTATTCAAAGCACGTGACACAATCTTGCGCAACAATGAACGACTCAAAAAGCGTGAGTGTGATGACTCAAATGAAGATGAAAAGGAATATCGTGATCAAGGCTTTTGTCGTGCTAATGTTCTGGTTTTATTGCCACTACGTAGTGCAGCAGTGGCTTTTGTGAATCATCTACTCGCGCTTTTACCTTCAACAATGACAACATTTCACAACAAAGATCGTTTTGATCGCGAATTTGGCCATACGACAATATTTGACGAATTATCGTTAGATGATGGAAAGAAAGAGTGGCAACGGGTGTTTGAAAGTGGAAATAACGACGATTGTTTTCAATTAGGCTTGTCCTTCTCCCGTAAAGCAGTTCGATTTTACAGTGGATATCATTACGCAGACGTGATCCTAGCGTCACCTCTTGGTCTTCGTCAACAACTTGGCGATGAAGCAGCAACGTTGGACAATGTCAAGAATCTTTCAACTGACTTTTTATCGAGTATTGAAGTATGTATCGTGGATTCTGCAAGTTTAATGATGATGCAAAATCTCGACCACGTCCGTACGGTATTGCAAGCGACAAATTTACCTCCAAAAGAAGCTCCACATGCCGATTTTTCACGCCTTCGTGAGTGGAATTTGACTTTTCTCGCGTCGTATTTTCGACAAACGATTGTGTTTGCACACGGATTGGAACCAGCATTAAATGCACTTGTGAACAAAACGTGTCGTAATCTTTCAGGTGTTGTCAAGTTTGTTCGTCGCTATGATGCTCATGACGGTTCAGCGTCTATTGTTCGTGTCGTACCTCAAATTAAGCAAATTTTTCAACGTGTCGATCTGGACTGCCATGGATCATTATCTGCAGCCGACGAAGTGGAACTTCGATTTGCTTTTTTCAAAAAACACATTTTTGAACCACTTTTGGACCAGCCACGAAAACATGTCTTGATTTTTATTCCGTCGTATTTCGATTATGTACGTATTCGCAACTTGTTTCACGACTCAATGAACAAGAAACTCATTCGGAGTGTACAGTGTTGTGAGTACACAAAGAGTACGCAAGTATCTCGTGCACGTACAACATTTTTCCATGGTCATTGCCATGTTATGCTTTATACCGAACGCTTTCACTTTTATCATCAGTATCAGATGCGTGGTGTCCACCATATCATTTGGTACGGACCTCCTGCCATTTGCGACTTTTATCCCGAAATGATGAACATGTTGGCAAACAATGACATAAAAGACGATGAAATTGGAGAGAGTAAAGGAGATAAGACATCGATTGCATTAATCACACGATTGGATTTACTGAGGATGCAGCGGATTGTGGGCAATAAGCGGGCTGACCGCATGTGTCGACCAAAGGCTGCAAAACCGACTTTCCTTTTTTATTAAAGTTCTGAAATTGGAATCTGTTCAAACAATTTCGAATATGTCTTTTGGTTCACATGGCTGATATGTAAGTAAGCTAGATGTCATTCGCGTAAATGACTATTATGGATACAGAAGTGGTTGCTTGAGATGTCGTAAGCCTTCAGACGACAGTGTTGGCTTCGATGTCAGACATTATCAAAGGAATGTATGCGATGGATAATCAAGGGCTTCTTCGTTTTCGACCAACTTCGTGCTCTTAAATTGCAACGCGTTGTCGTGCACTTTGCTTTAGCTTTGACTCTACGAGTTAACGATGACAAACGCAGGGAAGTCAGAGTCGCACGTTCCACTTTGGAGCGGCACCGAGAGCCTCTACAACTAATAAGCTCCACTAGTTCAAGAATACAGATGTCTAGAATATTTGTTGTAGTATCTGTAAATATAAATCTAACTTGTTTTTTTATCCCACAAAACTAAATATCCCCAGTTTCCTACTTTGATGTGTATGATGAATCACAATTGCACTTAAGTGCATGCTACGATATTGTGTTTGATACAATCGTGTCAAATGTATCCCGTTACACCCTTCCCGCTGTAATTTAGACCACAGTGGGCTCACAGTTCCTTTTTTTAAGATACTGCGGAAAAGCGATGGCTCTATGAGCAACCACTGCACCTTAAGCTACACTCGTTCCTCTACACTATTCAGTGTTTATTCCTTAAAGCATATATCCACCTGGAATCCCATCTCATGCATGAAAAATGAATCAGCGATCCTCCACAAAAGAGTCAGATAACAAGATCATCACGGAAATTTGCGATCCCAATTTGGCAGGATTGATACGGTATCGTCGATGCTTGCGACTTTGCGCGTGCCCTGTGTTTAATTTTCAGGAGAGGAGATTGACATACCGAGCATCTGATACGTAGGGCTCATTCTTGTTCCAAGGTCGAGACTTCGCTTGTAGTTGTGTCCGCAGGATTCTGATGATGAGTCACACGGTCCACAGTAAAAGTTTGAGGCGATGATTGCTCACTTCGATTTGCTTTGTACTTCACAAAGTCAAGCATTGAAGACACTCTAGGTTGGCGTCGGGTTGTCTGACGCTGACTTGCAAAGCCTCAAGGCGGGCGATGTGACATATCTTCGTTGCTCAGTACGCGAACTGATCAAAATGTTCATCGGCTACCTGTCAGAGTTTAGTACGAGAAGCCGTCTTAAGTTCCACAGCGGAGTGTGGAAACACTTCCCGCTAATGGAAAAGGGCAGGAGTCCGAGGCTCACGCACCGTGGAGAACGAGAGCGGGCATCTTTTTCTTGGGAAGCAGCCTGTTCGTGTATCGCCGAGTGAGGGCAAAGGTGTTTGATCGGGACTTAAAAGACACTGAAATCGCGCTCATCGAAGAGCACCTCGCCTCCTCACCAAGAATTTCTTTAAGCGCAAACCTTGTAAGCCAACCGGCCGATCATCCAATCTAGGTGGAAGTAGGTCACCTCTTGCTTATCGAGTAGAGTCGGCGGAGGATAATCCTCGGCGGCAAGACCGCGTAAGATCTTTCGTTATGGTGGAGCTTCGACTCTGTTCAAGAGTCTGGGTATGCCATTCCGTGGTTGCTGCGCAACTGTATCTATCACGCCAAGCGGTCTGAATTGACTGATTAGCACAGAAGGAAGAGCAGCTGATCTTATTAGCAGTTATCTGCCAAATTGATTGAGCTGTGATGCAGATATGAAGATACGGTAGTATTTGATTCGCAAGTGACAAATGATCGTAAAAAGTAGGAGTCGAATGCTTAACCTGCTCAGCATATACACTCATCTTCCCGGATATATATAGGCCTCGAGGCCACATAGTCTCCAATTCTTTGCAGCGTTTAAGCCATCTTTGGCGCTGTTAAGCATCAGATTTTCGCGTCAGTGCACAATAGTGTAGTCCGAAGCATTGCCCTGTATAATGTATTGCTAACACTAACGTTTACACCGGCTGCAACACCACACTTGGCAACCATCAGAAGCGAAACGAACCTAGAGAAAATGAATTGAACGGAGTGGGCATGATGATGCACGTGCTTCAAGAACAACGGTGTATGATGCAACAGCAAATGTAGATGTACCACAATATGATGGAATCAACGCGTCTCGCAACTCGGGAGAACACTGCTCCGAGTGAACTACGTGTCGCAGGAATATGGCGTCAAAAATCGACGGTAAAGGTGACGGTGCTGAATTCTTGTTTCGCAACAAGCGATTTCTAGCTCCAAAGAACATCCCGTACGGCAACGACACACCACAAGCGACCGTCGGCAATCATTTTGTTAAGGCTCCGCAGTCGCATGGTTGAGAGAGTTCAGTATATAATTCAATCAGAGTGTGCCTGCCTAACTTCTCGCAGATATTTTGACTTATCGGCTCACTCCGCTAGATCTACTAGAACATGCGCGACCACTTCTTTTGATTACGTCAAATTGAGATGGACGAATACATATCGGGAGGGTTTGACGGATGCCGTAAGCGTCTACAAAGAATCAATCAAATTGTGCAACACTAGACAAGTATTGGGTGAACCACACTACAGTGCCAGAAAATCCAGCATCTTCACCGGCGAACGTGCTCAAGCTATGCTTGTGTACGTAGCTCAAGTCAAAGAGCATGCCAGATTTAAGGAATATAGACAAACCACTTTCGAAGAGAGGCCACGGTGCTGAACAATTGCTCCCATTCATTGGTCTTGCACTGAAACACGGAATACATGCCTATACAGTATCGCAATCTACATATTGTTTGGTAAATCTCCGCGTGTCTTTGGCACCGTCACGGAGACACATCGGTCTTAGTAGTGTGTGGCTGTAGATCAAAATGAATTGTTGAAATCAGCCCAGCTACAGTTCGTAACCAAAGCAGTGATTTATCACGGTCGTAGTAATTGAGGATCATGACGTAATCTATATCTTTCCGACAGAAAGCGAGCACATCAAGATTTTCTCTATATACATATCTACTAGATCCTTACGACAATTCTGCTATTACGAGCCAGTCAGACGTGAATATCTGTTGCTGACGCAGTAAAGTGCTGTCTTTCCCTAAGCAGCGACGCTATTTGCAACTACTTTAGATACCTGAAGCAAGGCTGTGCAATGATCAGCTCAGTGGTCGAATGCAAGATCTGACTTATGTGCGCAGTGACTTTCGAGGAGAGTCGACGAGCCACCGCAACCCAGAAAGCTCACGAATGCCAGTCACAGAAGCGTCAATCTTCGCCGGATCTGCTTGATAAACAAAAGGTGGCCCATTTTCACGTAAGAAAGATGGTGGGCGGCGGGTTCTTAAGGGCAGTTACTAGTATCTGGTCAAGTGACTCTGCCTATCAAAAACCGTGGGAGCTCGCGATTGTGTTTTCGCAATACTACCATAGAGCCAAACCGCTTATCGTTTGGCGTTCCATCTGGCATTTGTCTCTCTTTGAGGAGAGGCTCATGTCGCCCGTTACCGTATGCATCTCATGCGACCGACCTTGCGATGAATACGAACCTAGATCGGTAGCTGTAACAGCTGTCTCATGAAGATGAGTGCGGCTGTAAACAGAAAAACTGGAGATAATACATGTTCATCTTGTGGTCTACGTCTTGGCTTGAGGTCGAGCAAGGAAACTTACGTTTAAATAGAAAAAATATACTCATATATATGGAGTATATTATAAGGGTGATTTTTTTAAAGCTTTAATTTTGTGCATCTTGTGTAAAATGATGTTCCTGAGGAGCCGACGCTTGGTCAGTCGCGAGCTTTGCAGAAGGTGGCTCGCTAATTCTCAATTGGATGAGACAGCGTGTATTCTCACCCAGTACGCGAAATAAATCTGATACTTTACAATCTAATCCTCAATTGGATGAGACAGCGAGTTTTCTCATCCAGTACGCAAAATAAATCTGATACTTTACAATTACCAGCCTCCAAACTCATCTGACGCCCACGGTTCAATGCCGTTTCCACTCCCAAAGCATACCCCAGGCATTGAACAATATATTTGAGTTTGGTGTTTCAGGTAATCTCATTTCCTGTACAAAGGCTATCTAAGCTTCGCCCGCCCCGGTAGAAACACTGGTCCAGAAAAAGGTGTGTCCACAACTCGCCAAAGTCACATAAAAATTGAAGTAGATGGTCGAACAAGGTGCCATTGCGTTCACACCACGCAAAACTTAGGATGAGACGATATCTGACATCTAGGGTAACGACAAGGCTATATCACACGCTGTCGAAATATCATAGTTAACAGCAAAAATCAAAGCTTTCACCTTTGTCTCCGTCACAAGCGCACAGATATCGTGTCCGTTTATGGCAAATCCGTTGCCTTCGCGTTCTGTCTACTAATTTTAATATTTGTGCATCAACCCATATAGTAGGCATAGAGCTACCTACTCAGAACCGACGTGCCCGCGAGTGTTTTGTCAAAGTGCCCAGCTTGAAAATCGACTATTGACTTTATTTAGCCGAAAGAGGGGGCACACAGATCGCAAAAAGTGATACTACCGCAGATGTTACATCTGCAAGCTCCTAAGTGATACTCGTCTTGCAAAAGATATCTCGCTTTCTCCTGAGCATGGATGAGGTCAATTGCTCTCGAAACACTGCTTAATTTTTACCATCCGTATTCACACAGATGAAAGCTGGGCTCCACATAGTGCAAAATTCATCGCCTTTTCGCAATTGGTAAGGTGGACGAGTTACGCTTTGGTGCATTTGGCGCCTCCTCCACGAAGACGGCGACTGCAACCACCTCTAGGAGATTATCAATTTTGGGATCTTTTGGCCATAGTCCGCTACTTTTATGTGGAATTAATTATTGGGCTTACAATGACATACTTGGTTAGGCGATGCAAACACCAAGAACAGATGTCGTTCGACCCTTTTAATGTCAGAAACTTTAACCCACAGAAGCTCTGCACATATGAGCCCATTTTATTGCGCAGCCTCATAGCCTTAAGACCGCAAACGCGACACGCTATTACCTTATGAGACTTTGCCACAGTCATGACAATCTCGACATCCCTCATTAACTAGAAGTACCTATTTCATGCCTGCTTTTGAATGGTGAGATTGTCACCATATCGTACAATCTCACGATAGCGTAAACAAGGTGAGCATTATTTGTGCTCCCGCCAACGCCCAGCTAAGACGTTGCTGAAAATGTCTCATCGCGCATTCCTGCAGCTGGTGAACGCCTCCGAGTCAGTGGCTCCAGTACTTAGGCCATCAAATGTGCTCATTCCTTTGGAGCAACTATACACATTAGCTTTTAGTGCGACTCGTTGTTTCGGGATGAATACTTGAACAACTCATGTTATGTACTAGTAGCAGACTTAATCCTCTCACCACCCGGTGAAGGAAGTAATTACGAGTACTACCGGTTGCAGCAAGTTTGTCGTGCACTTTGCCCAAGGGAATTTTTTTAGTCATCCATACCGCTCTCGTTGAAGTATAGATGTGATGGGAAACGACACCCCTTTTTAGGAGTCGTGTAAGCCATGTCAAGCACGTGCTATAGGATTTAATCATTACACTCTAACCCCTCTCTACCCGGCCCGGGGAATGAACCCTGGACCTCCCGGTTCTGAAGTGAGCGGCGTACCGCTGCACCACAGGATCGGTCTCGTTGAAGTATAGATATGATGAGTTACGTTCCCCCTTTTTAGGGGTCGTGTAAGCCATGTCAAGCACGTGCTGTAGGGTTTTTCATTAC